AAGATGTGGAGACCACAGAGAAGTAGAGATAATAGAGCAGCCATGGTACCAAGAAGCTAAGTTTCCTGTGTGATCCTGTGGTCTCTGGGCAGAAAGATCTTCACCTCTCTCAGGGCTGCTGCTAGAAGATCCCCACAGAGCTTATGGAAACACAACCTGGATTACACTGTGGATATCCCATACAATGTGTCATTCAAAACTGAACAAACCAGCCTTTGGAAAAGCTAAAAATAAAGGGGGTAATATATGAATATAAATATTATATAATGTTATGAATAAACATACGTTTTCATATATATGCATATATAAATATAAATGTAGCAAATGCATAAAACATTCAAGAAGGCCTTGGGGGGCTGTGGAGGGGATCAATGGGGGGAAAGGGGGATATTTGTAATACTTTCAACAATAAAGATAAGTTTAAATAAAATAATAAAATAAAATAATAAAAAATGCTCCACATTCTGGACAGTTAAAAAAATGATAAATATCAAGATCACCTCTAGTAAACAATATAGTTACTTCCAGAAGTGGCATAAGGTTAATTGAATCAGGAAGAAATATACAAGAGGTTTCCATTACATCTGTAGGATTTTCTTTATTAGGCTACATGGCAAGTATATGGGTGGTCATTATATTATTGTCTATATGCTTGAAATGAAATTTTTTTAGAAAATTTGAATATGGTTCTCTTAAAATAACTTGAGATATAGTTGCCATACATGAAATTTTCCCATTTAAAGTGTACAATTCAATGGTTCTTAGTATATTCACAGATTTATAACAGATTCCTCCCTCTCAAAGGAAACCACAAACCCACTAGCAGTCAATCACCATCCCTTCCTCCCAGCCCCTACCCTACTTTCTGTCTCCATAAATTTACCTATTCTAGACAAGCCATATAGTTGGCATCATACAACATGTATTCTTTTGTGTCTGGCTTCTTTCACATAGCATGATGGTTTTAAATTTCTTCCAAACCATAGCATGTGTATATCACTCCTTGAGGCTGAATAATATTCCACTGTACAGACACACCACATTTTGCTTACCCTTTTATCAGCTGATGGACATTTAGGTTGTTTCCTCTTTTGTCTATTATGAATAATGCTGTTATAAACACTCATGTACATATCTTTAAGAGTAAACTTTCTGGGCCCAATGTTAATTCCATCTTTAAATTTTTGAGGAACTAACAGATGGCTTTCCACAATGGCTGTACCATTTTACATTCCCGCCAGTGATGAGGTTTCCAGTTTCTTCACATTCTCACCAATACTTGTTATTGTCTTTTTAATTTTAGTCATCTCTGTGGATGTGAAGTGTTATCTCATTGTGGATTTGATTTTCACTCCCCTAATGGCTAATAACATTGAGCATCTTTTCATGTGCCATTGGCCACTTATATATCCTTTATGTAGAAATATATATACAAATCCTTAGCTAATTTTACTTGGGCTTTTTGTCTTTTGATTATTGAGTTGTAAGATTTATTTATATGTTCTGGATACAAATCCTTTTCAAATATATAATTTGCAAATATTTTCCCCTATTCTATGAGTTATCTTTTCACTTCATCAGTGGTGTCCTTTGAAGCACAAACACTTTTAATTTTATTGAAGCCAAACTCATCTATTTTTTCTTTTGTTGCTCATGATTTTAGCGCTATGTCTAAAAAACGATTACCTAACTCAAGAGCACAGAAATTTACTCCTATGATTTCTTCTAAGAGTTTTATAAATTTAGCTCTTACATTTGGGTTTATGACTCATTTTGAGTTAATTTTTGTGTCTAGTGTAAAGTAAGAATCCACCTTTCTTTTGCATGTGGATTCAGTTGTCCTAATACCCTTTATTAAAAATATTATTCTTTTGGGGGGAGAAAAATATCACTTTCCCTCCATAATCATTCTTTTTAATGAAAGGAGCTTTCTTCTTTTTCTGAAACTTTTTTATAAGGACACAGTCATACTAGAGTAGGACCCGCCTTAATGACCTCATTTTAACTTGATCTTCTACAAAGAGTATTTCCAAATACAATCATATTCACAGGTCCTGGAGGTTAGGACTTCAACATATTTGGGGAAGGGGATGTATTTCAACCCATAATAGGAATTTTGTTCTATTGTATCCTAAAGGGATTTACTATTGGAAACATAAGGTTAGGCTAATACTGTATGAATGGGGATGAAGTCTCCACTAAAAGAAGTAGATACCACACCAATCAATCATCCATAAATGTTAAAGATGGGAGCAGGAAATGGAAAGACAGGCCTGAGATGGGTTCCTCTTTCTGAACCTTGACTTGGGCCTAGACTCTGGGGAATTGAGGCACGTTTAAGGTATTGCTGGGTGGTAGAGGAAACCTGGCCTCTTCCTTAAGGGGGAAGAATGGGCTCTGAACAGAAAGGCAATCCTATGGAGCTCCCAGGAGGACAGACTGGACACTGAGGGTTCTAAGAACACCCATAGCTCATAGCCAGCTGTAAGTTATTCTGTGTGGAAGTCCCTCTGCAATCCCCAGCCATCAGCAAAGTCTTGTTAAACTAACAGACTGAACTTCTATTAGAGAAAAAGTCTATGTTCACACTTAGACTACATAGCTAAAGGAAGGCAGAGGAATGGTGCTAGACACTCTGCCCGTGAGCATGTCCAAGGACGAAAAGCATTCTATAGCAACATGCAGTAGCCCAGGTTGACACAGGAGCCCTTGTAAGAAGGCCCCTGAAAACTCCCAGAGAGCAGACTCTGAATAAAAATAGCTATTGATGTAACCTAACTTATGCCAACTTCCTGCTGAGCTATTCAGGTTATTTAAAAGCATTGCTACAGAAAACATTGGTCATTTTGGAAACATATATCATTAAAACCATATGCTAAAAGATAAATGCATTTAAAAATTAGACTTTTCCAACAAGCACATCTAATTCATTATATAATTGCCCACATTATTATGCCATTGTATACTGATCAGCCTTTCTTGAATTCTTAAAAGTGGATTTGACTGAGACCAAGGACTACACTTAAAGAACCACTGCCAGAGAGAACTTTGTCTAAAATGTGAGGCATCCTGAGACTGATGGGGGCACTTGTCCCAAGTAAGACTGTCCAGTACCTATTCAGACCAGCTCCTGCATAGCTGCCTGAGTCATGACCATCCACTACTGCTTCCCCTCCCTGGGGAGTGTCCTACTGTCCTGAAAACAAAGCTGAGCTCTTTGCCTTGTATCCTGACTGTACTGACAGTCACCAAATCCTTGGGTGAGAAAACTGTCAGATTTTCCCAGGTGATGTGCCTGCTTGGTCTTTCATTTCTCTGACACTAACATTAATATATATTATGAAAGTGATTAAGCAGGTAATAGCAACAAAAATCCCCATACAAAATGCATTCTCAATTATAAAATATTAGGAGAAATTTATTTACATCAGGAAAGTGAAAAAAGCATTTTCTGCCATACCCTTTCATCAACATTGAAGATGGAGGTTCTGGCCAGAACAGAAGACAGAAAAATAAAACAAAGTTTAAGGTTTCACTGAAAGTCAGCCTGCCGGGCCAGTTCCCTGGGAAACTGGCAACGTCAGCAGCAGCATCTCTCTCCTCCTGAGTTGGTCAGATTCTCAGAGAAGAACATTCTATACAGCTTCCAGGGAGAGCAAAGACAGGCAGAGGTCCCAGCACTCAGAGGGTCAATGACCGTCAACCCTCTTCTTCCCCCTGCTTCCCAGAACCTTCAGATTTTCCTCTCCTTCTCTAGTCCCAAGACCCTCTCCTCACGTTAATAACCATCTCCAGCTTGCAGTGGATCAGGGTCCTGCTCCAACTGCTGTCCCCACCCTCCACATGATGGTCTCCCTTCCTCACCAGTTCCAGAGGGACTTGGCACTGCTGGGCCCTTAATTCTGGAAGATTCTGCAACATAAATTGTGACATTTCTGATTCCCCCACTATAGCAGTGGGCTAGAGCAGCCTTGGGCTGCTGACTAATGGTCCATCCTGTGGAGAAGTTGCTCACCCATCCTCTTTCCTGGACTCTCCTCTCCCCAGGGGTTTGCTGTGGTGAATATTCTTGTACATGTCTCCTGGGACAATTGTGGGAAAGCTTCTTTTTGGAAAAGACTTTTAGGGAGGCAAGGGCAAATCTTTTCAATATGGTTTTACTAATGACAGGACCATCAGCAATGTAAAAGAGATTCTGAATTTCCATGCCTTCTCCAACACTCAGTAGTTGTACTAGACTGATTTTAACACCCAGCCTCTGGGTACAGTTTGATGTAGGTGGGCAGGTAAAAATAAAGTAGTAAGTAGGGCTCTTTCATATACCCTGCATGACCAAATTCCTTGCATGCATGTTCACATGCACATTCATGTGCATTTTAGGAGGTTCTCACTGACACAACTGGAGTAAACTTCCAAACACATGGGTGAACTTCCTTGCAGGGTAACTGAAAATTTAATTCCCATATATTTAACAAAACAAAAAAAAGTGAAACTGAGGCTTTGGGGACTTGGAGTCCCACTGGTGGCAGTTGAGTGTGATGTTTTCTGGTATCTGTAGTCTCCAGCCCCTCACTCAGCACAGGCAGGCGGAAGCCAGGGCCTTGCGGACCTTTGTGTTGCTGAATTGCAGCGCAGTGGTGTTGGGCATGCCCATGACCTTCAATTGGAAGGAGTTCGAGCAACTGGACCAGGTCCAGAGGTCCCTGTTCTGGGAAGTGACGTTGGATGCCTGCAGATTCCTGGTCTCACTGGGGCTTGTGGTTCCCAAACCAGAGTTGATCAAACAGCCAAAGAATGAGTAAGAGGCAAGGAAGAGAGGCCTTTGCTAAAGCACCTTTCCCAGTGACAGGTAAAACCCGAGACTGCCAGCTGTGTCTTAAGGAGCCTTGCTCCAGGGCAGACTGACTCAGAGAGCCAGAGATCAGGAAAGGTTGTTGGAAATGCAGGGAAGGAACTTGAGGCCAGCTGCCCTCTCCCACAAGCACACCATCCTTAGGAACATGAGCCTTGGACACAATGGTCCAGGGACAGAGGCTAGCCTGCACTCGAGGGTTTTACCGTAGCAAGACTCTGCAGGAGATACTCTCTATGAACGTGACTCACAGGGTAACCAAGTAAAGACACCAAGTAAAATGAACCAAGTAAAGACACCTTGGTTCATGCAAGGAAGACCCTCTGCAAATACAAGGAATACGGGAAAGCGTTTAGCAAGAATTGCCCCCGTGTTCCACATCCCCGGATTCGCACTGGAGTGAAGCCTTGGGAATGCCCGGAGTGTGAGAAAGCCTTTCCCATTTGTGAAAAGGTGGACTTTGTTAGAAACATAAGGATTCACACTGGGGAGAAGCCCTATAAGTGTGTAGAGTATGGAAAGGTCTTTAACTATGGGTCACACGTCACGTGCCACCAGCAGATTCGCACTAGTGAGATGCCCTCTGAGTGCAGTGAATGTGGAAAGACCTTCACTTACCACTTTGTGTTTTTCCGACATGGTATGACCCACACTGCACAAAAGCCCTGTGAGTGGAAAGAACATGGGAAAGGTTTTTGGCACAGCTACTCCCTCCTGAGACACATAAGGAGTCACACTGGAGACAAGCCCTGTGAGTGCGGCGAATGTGGGAAGGCCTTTGTCTACCATTCTGCTTTTATCCTACATAATAAGATCCACCCTAGAGAAAAAGACCTTTGAGAGCAAAGAATGTGGGCAAGCCTTTAGGGACAGCTTTTCTTTCCCCTGACGCTTGAGGAGTCACGCTGGAGAGGAGCCCTGTGAACGCAGTGAATACGGGAGAGCCTTCAGCTGCTGCTCATCCCTCACCGGCGTGGAGAGTTAGTGCCGCAGAGAAAGACGGGTGGGAAGGCCTTTTGCAACCTCAGTCAACATTAGGGAACTTATACCGGGAAAACACCTTTTGAATATAACTACTGCAGAAAATCACTCAGCCACGGGAAACATCTTAGCTGGCATCTGAGATTTCATCCAGGAGAGAGACCTCTTGGTTGCTGTGCACTTAGAAGAAACCTCATCACTAAGTCATCTCAGGAATATTGTAAAAAGAACAAGAATGGGAGTGCTGTAGAAGAGAAAAGAGAAAAAAAATTCAGGCACAGCTTCTTTCACACTTTACTGAAGCCAAGCCTATGAAAATTTGAATGTTTCTCCATTTGTGGACATCTGAAAAGCCAAGGGGCCTCGCCCCTTTGATGTCATATATGTATATGTTCACTTCTGTCTAGTGGCAGGAGAGCTGGGCAGTTGAGGGCAGATTTATTGAAAGCACTCTTTGTTCCAAAACATTGTTTCTAATCTTGGGGAGCATAAGTCTTTGTGAAAAATATGCAGGCTTATTGAATATTAAAAATACTGTAAAATTACTGTCTATTTGGGAGGTAAGGACTCACATATGAATGGCACTTTCTACCTGCATCATTGAAGACTAAGGCTTAATTTTTTTTAAATCTTTCCTCATGTGGTTTTGAACACCCAGCCCGCATTTTCTTCTTGACTTCAATGTCCGTGTTTCTTCCGGTTCATTTTCACAGGGACGTTGGCATGGTGGTAGCTGTGTGGCTTTCCCAGGTGAGCCTTAACTCATTTCTCTGAGGTTTCTCAGCTTGTTAGCCCCCTCTGTAGAGGGGCTTCTCCAAACCATGTCAGCAGTTACCTAAAGGTTTAACTAGAGCTAAAGCAAACTGAAGAAAATACAACTACCTTAAGCTAATGAAAAACTTGGGAGGCTTTTTAAATTTAAAGAAATGAACACAGCATATTAAAATGTAAAACATTTTACATTTGATGTGTTAATTCAATTTCTAGAAATCTAGCTTAGAGAAATGTTCTCAAAAATGTGCAGAGGTATGTGTACAAAAACAGTCACTTCAATTTTGTTTTTATATATGAAACACTGAAAACGAACAAAATGTCCATTGACAAGAAAATAAATTATGGTACATCTGTTCCATAAAATACTATGAAATAATAAGTGTCTCTGTATGTACTGATGTTAAAACATCTCCCAGATACAGTGTTAGGTAAAAGAGCAAGTTGAATATAATAAATCTAGATCTGGAAAGATGAACATAGCTCTGTCAACAGTGGCTCTCTGTGCGGAATGGGATGGACCAGGATTGCAGGGAATGCTCAGTTTTTACTTTATATACTTCAGTATTGTTTGCACTTTTTAAAATAAATAGCATGTATTATTTTGGCAATAAATGTTTCAAACATTTTAATTAAAATGGCACCTTAGAATAAAAGTGACTGCTATTATTTCTTATAAAGCATGAATTTTACAGAATTTTTTAAGTCCTGGTGTTATTATGCCTTAAAAAACTAGATCAAGGATTCAGAGCTATTTAGCCACACTTAATAAATGGTAAGGTAGTTTTAAAAATCACTCAACATACAGATATGTGCAAAAAAGTGAAACCACCTTCTTACACCAAACACATGAATAAACTCAAAATGGATTAAAGACTTAAAAAAGACTGAAAACCATAAAAATCCTAGAAAAAAGCACAGGCAGTAAAATCTCAGACATTTCTCAATACCAATATTTTTTCTGATATATTTTCTTGGGCAAGGGAAACAAAAGAAAAAATAAACAAATGAGATTACATTAACTAAAAAGTTTTTGCACAGCAAAGGAAACCATCAACAAAATGAAAAGATAACCCACTGAATGGGAGAACATATTCACCGATGATACAGTTGATAAAGGGTTTATAGCCAAAATTTATAAAGAACTTATATAACTCAACACCAAAAAAACAAACAATCCAATTAAAAAATGGGCAAAGACCCCAAAAAGACACTTCTCCAAAAAGGACATACAGATGGCCAATAGACATATGAAAAGATACTCAATGTCACTAATCATCAGTGTGATGCAAATTAAAACCACAATGAGGTATCTCCTCACACCTGTCAGAATGGCTCCATCAACAAACAACAAACAACAAGCCCTGGCGAGGGAGAAAGGGGAGCCCTGGGACACTGCTGGTGGGAATGCAGACCAGGGCAGCCACTGTGGAAAACAGTAGGAAGGTTCCTCAAAAATTAAAAATGGAGCTGCCTTATGACCCAGCAATTCCACTTCTGGGAATATATCCTAAGAAACCCAAAACACCAATTCAAAAGAATATGTGCCCCCCTATGTTAACTGCAGCGTTACTTACTGTAGCCAAGATTTGGAAGCAGCCCAAGTGCCCATCAGTAGGTGAGTGGATAAAAAGCTGTGGGACATTTACGTACTACTCAGCCATAAAAAAGGAAGGAAATCTTACCTTTTGCGATAGCACAGGTGGACCTGGCGAGTATATGCTAAGTAAAATAAGCCAGTCAGAGAAAGACAAACACTATACGATTTCATTTATATGTGGAATCTAGAACAAAATAAACTAACAAACCAAATAGAAACAAACTCATAGATAGAGAGAACAGAGTGACATCTGTCAGAGGGGAGTGGGTTTGGGAAGCTGGATAAAAAGGTGAAGGGATTAAGCAAAAAAACCAAAAGACCTCATAGACACAGACTACAGTACGGTGATTAACAGAGGGGAAGGGGTGGAGGTAGAAGAAGGCAAAGGGGGGATAAGTGGTGATGGAAGGAGACGGCTTTGGGTGGTGAACAAACAATACAATGTATAGATGATGTATTATAGAATTGTGCACTTGAAGCCTATATAATTTTATTAACCAATGTCACCCCAGAATTAAAAATAAAAATGAGTCAACATATATGTAGAATGATACATGTAAAAAGTGAGAGTTTAGTATAAACACTCTTTAGTGAAAAATTTACTTTCTTTAAAATCTTAGTAACTTATAAATGTTCATTTGCAAGCGTTTATGTTCTGCGTCAGGTTTTCACCTCCTTGGAATTGATCACAAGGAAAGTACTTTGATAGCTGTTAATGTCAATGTATTGTGTATAAACACACACACACACACTTGCTGGACACAGCTGATTTGTGAATGTTGGCTGTTGAATGGACGTTGTTGGGTTATACTGGATTTACTTTCAGGCTTCGTAAGATATGTTAGCATTCTGAATAAAGAAAAGCACAGTTGCTTTTTTCCAACATAATATTCATGCTGAGCCATCAGGCGAATTTTCCAGTAAGGGAAAACAAGCTTGACATCCACTGATTATACCTTAGGGTTTGCCTGTGTTCTCCCCCACAGTATTTGTTAACATCATTTCACTCGGAATCATATACCATGAGAAATATTTTCCCTACTCAGAAATAGACAAGGGGTAGGATTTGCACACGAGCAAACCTGGAATCCACAAGTAAAACCCCGTTCAGGCGTTGCAGTGGTAGTACTTTGCGGGAGAGAGTTGCCCTTCAAGAGATGGATTCCGTAAGTGTGATTCTCCTTTAGAGAGAAGTTGGCAGCTGTGTTGTGATGAAAGTAAATTCTGCCCATTTGGGGTCAGTTCCTGAAAGTGGATTGTGCAAGAGAAATAAGAAGACCTAACTGGCTTTGGAGAATGTCTTAGTTTGGGCAGCTATAAAAAAATACTATAAACTGGGTGGATTATAAATAACAGAAATTTCTTTTTCACAGTTCTGAAGGTGGGAAAAGTCAAGGTCAAGGCACTGGCAGGCTCAGCCAGTCTGCTGAGAGCCAAAACTTCATAGATGCCTATCTTCTCGCTGCGACCTCACATGGTGGAAGGGACAAGAGAGCCATGTGGAGTCTCTTTTATAAATAAGGGTATTAATCCCACTCATGAGGGCTCTGTCCTATGGCCTACTCACCTCCCAAAGACTTCACCTCCAGATATCGTCACATTGGAATAAGGGTTCAACATGTAAATCTAGAGAGATACAAACAGTCTATAGCAATGGAGAAAATATCACCTTGAGGTCTCTTTTCTGTGAGATCCACTGAGCAGTCTCCCTGGTCACATAAGTGTAGACAAAGCAGGTTTTGGAGTAAGTGCCCAATGTTTTTAGACAGTTTAATATAAGGAACATGAGAACTCTCAGAAGAAGATGCTGTTTCAGGATGAGGCATGTAGGACAAGTGAGCAATCAAGTGGCTAATTGGAAAAATAGAGGGAAATGTCCATATTTAAATTTCAAGTTTGTGGGCCAGTTCATTCCAGTTACAGGTGAAAAGGTGTTTCCTTAAAGCGAATAAAATCTCACACTTTTGGAGATGTAATTCTTTATATACTACATTTGGCTTGTTAACTATTTTTCAGTGAAGGACTTTGAATGTGTATCTCTCCTTTAATGTCCACTGATGCTATTAAAAAGTCAGCTATCTGCTTATCATTGTCCCTTTATAGGTCATTTTTCTTTTCTCTGCAGCTTCTTTAAAGATCTGTTCATCTTTGATAGTCTATAATTTCTATATGGTGTATCAAGGTGTGGCTTGCTAATTTATCATACTTGGTATTCATAAGGATTTATGACTCTAAGGATTCCTGTGTTTCATCAATTCTGAAAATTGTTCTATTCCTTATAACCTTGGATATGCATCTCCCCTATTATCTATGTGTTATTACTTTCTGTAATTCCAATTAGATGTAAATTTTATCTTCTCATTTTCTCTTTCTCTTAATTTACCTCCCATATTTTGTCTGTTTCTCTATTACTTTCTGATTATTTCATATCTATCTTTAAATTTTCACGTGTAACTGAAATTTTTAAATGCCAGTGGTTATATTTTCCATTTTTACAACTTCTAATTGGTTCTTTTTAAAAAAATATTATTGTTAATTTCTTATATTTTCAACACTTATTTTATTTTATATTCAATATTTCTAGAATCTGAAGTTTTTAAAATTCTTATTCTGCTTCTTGATGTTTCTCTTGA